TCCCAGCACTCGGGAGGCAGAGGCAGGCGGATCTCTGTGAGTTCAAGGCCAGCCTGGTCTCCAAAGTGAGTTCCAGGAAAGGCACAAAGCTACACTGAGAAACCCTGTCTCGAAAAACCAAAAAAAAAAAAAAAAAATTAATTAAAAATAAAATTTATGTTACCAGGCATGGTGGCACATGTCTTTAACCCCAGCATTTAACAGGCAGAGGGAGGTGGGTCTCTAAGTTTGAGGCCAGATGGTCTACAAACTGAGTTCCAGGACAGCCAGCGCTACACAGAGAAACATGTCTCAAAAAACAAGCAAATAAAAAAAAAAAAAAAAAAACATAGCCGGGCGGTGGTGGCTCACGCCTTTAATCCCAGCACTCGGGAGGCAGAGGCAGGCAGATCTCTGTGAGTTCGAGGCCAGCCTGGGCTACCAAGTGAGTTCCAGGAAAAGGCGCAAAGCTACACAGAGAAACCCTGTCTCGAAAAACCAAAAAGAAAAAGAGCAAATTAAGAATTCCAAGTTGTCGAACAAGTAAGAAAAACATTGGAAATATATGGGAAAAGGACAAAGACGGCAGCCCAAAGTAAAGAATCAAGATTTCTAAATATTTATTTTTAATATTTTGAAATTTTTATGTGCATGAATATTTTGCCTGCGTGTTTATGTGTGTACCACCTGTGCCTGGTGCCTTCAGAGGTCAGAATGGGAGCATCAGATCCTCTAAACTGGAGTTACAGATGGTTGTCAGCCCTTTATAGGTGCTGGGAACCAAATCCAGGCCCTCTGCAAAAGCAACACATTCTCTTAACCACTGAGCCCAAGTCCCAGGATTTTTGTTTGTTTTTTCGAGACAGGGTTTCTCTGTGTGGCTTTGGAACCTGTCCTGGAACTCACTCTGTAGCCCAGGCTGGCCTCGAACTCACAGAGATCTGCCTGGCTCTGCCTCCCGAGTGCTGGGATTAAAGGCGTCCGTCACCACTGCCCAGCGGTTTTTTTTAGAGGTAATCATGAAGAAATTTAATCTTGTTTGTTTGATAGTTTGTTTTTTAAACTGTGTTTGGTGGTCCGTGTCTTAATTCTACACGAGGTCCCAACAGGAGGAGCGGGACTTTAGGATCAGCTGCGGCGACTGAGTGAGTTCAAGGCTAAACACAAGACTGTTTCATGAAACCAAAAACAGGACCTAGAGAGAGCACAGGGTGCAATGATTGAGACCAGAGGAGCGTTTGCCCGAATCTGTTCTTTCCTTCTCCCAGGTAGGTCCCTGGGCTCAAACTTGGATTGTCAGGCTTGACCACAAGCACCTTTACCCTATGAGCCATCTTGCCACCCCCCGACTTCTAATTTCTTATATAAATTTATAGCAGAGTCTTAACTACAGAATAGGATGAGAATTCCTTACATTTTTCTAATGGGAAACATCCAATTACCTCTTATTATTCCTAAGAGTTTGCATCTTAAATTACAAGTAAAGATGTATTAAATACTCCAGTTTAGGGGAAGTCTGGGCAGCTCTAGAGCTCAGCCACAGGACGAGGGGTGCGCAGGACCACCCACATCGAAAGCAAACCATCAGTGTTCCTCCTTGTCAGCATCGGTATTTTCTCCAAGGAGCACTCTAAACGGTTGTGATCATTTGCCTTCAGGAAGACTCGGGGAGAAAGACAACTGAGAAATGCCTGGACAAACGCTACTTGTTTGTCTCAAGACAATAACCAAAGCTGGGATTAATACCTTCCACACGGCTGTGCTACTACACGCAGGCCCGTGCCCATAGGTTTGGGCTAGCTTGTGTCAGCCTGCTTCTTGGGAAGAGGAAAACGTCCCACGAGGAAAGCTAGAGTTGCGGGGCACGTCACGCTATTTAGTTATAGTTAATTCAGAGTTCGGATTCATTTTTTTTTTTAAATAACCTTTCCCCAAAATGCCTTTAGAACCGAGGCCCCCAAGCAGAGCGGTGCACAGCATTTGCGTGTGAGATCGTGTTTCAAGTTCCTTGGGATAATCTTTTCCTAAAACTCCAGAAAAGACACTTAAGCAGTGGGTCAAACTCAGATAAAGTGTGGAAAGGTACAGGGGACCTTCACCCCTGATTTTCCAGTTTTGTAAAGGATAATATTCAGTTTGTTTCATTTTAAAGATATTATCTTATCTATAATTAGATACAGTTTGAAAATCTAGTGTCTCGAACTAATGCAGAGCAGACGTTTTTTTTGGAAGTGCTGGAAACATAATAGACCTTCAATAACTGTTACAGCAGAGGCAGGAAAAAAATCACAAAAACAAATAAAAAATAGCTTAAGAGGTGTGTGTGTGTGTGTGTGTGTGTGTGTGTGTGTGTATGTGAGTATATATGTGTTTTATGTGTTTGTATGTGTGTATTTGTATATGTGTGTGTTTGTGTATGTATATGTGTATGTACATGATCCTCCTTTATCCGGTTAATACCATCTAGGCAGAAGTTCAATGGTAAGTAGATGAAGTATCTTCTGAGGATCCCAAGAGATGGTGTCAAATTTTGATTCCAAAAGTGTCCTCTTCTCTCTAAGAGAGAAGTCCATGAATTTGGGGAAGGGCTGTGTCTTGGAAATAGGAACTCTGTGGTTCCGAATGGCAGAGACTCATTATGTCCTACCTCAGGCAAACATGTACGGACCTAAGTAGCAGCATCTGAGGAAGGGCACAGCTTTAAAGAGACAGCACACATCCTATCAACAGCGTGCCCCGCCCCTTCCTCAGTCTTTCATGTATGCTTCTCTCAAAGTCAGCTCTCTGATTTATAAGACCCTTCAGTCTTCTGCCCTTCAGGGAAACAGATTTTGAAAACTCATTTCTTCTATTGGAGGATTTATTAAGGCAACTCCACGAAGTTAAAAAGGAGATTCACTTTGGGGGGTAACTTACACCTAGTAAAGGTATTGGTTACAGGATCCAGGAGTGGGGAGGTGCAGTCCAGCTGGGTTCTCTGGAGAACTCCACTCAATCCAGCGGATCCAGGATCACCAGGAACCAAGAGAGCCAGCACTCTCGATCTCCGGTCTTAAGGACTCCCACCTCGGCCCCGCCTCAGGAGCAGGTCATAGGTCGGTGTGACAGTTACCGGAAGCCTCACTGGGGGTAGTACTTCCAGGTCAAAGCTGGAACAGCTACCTACCCACCACACTCTTCAACATGAATCGCTACTCTTTTTACAAGTTCCACTGGAAAATGTGTGAGGAAGGCACAGGGGCCAGTGAGGTCACTCGCCTAGCCTTGGGAGTCACTCTAATTGGCAGCCTTCGGTGGACCAATATGGTTAGGGAGAAGGGAAGGCAGCTCTACCCCAGAGGAACAGACTTATCTCCAGAAAAGTGAATCACATTGGGAAAAGCAGGTACTGTTAAAACCACAGTTTTAAAAGTCCGAAGTAAGCTGGGTGGTGAGGGTGGGTGGGCGCTCCCTGCGTCCCAGCAACTCAACTGCTGCGCTCTTTCAGCCCCTTCTTCCAAATGTCCTCTGTGCCTCAGAGGCCACGAGAATTGCTTGAGCTTAAGCGTTTAAGGCCCATCTGGAGATTGTACGAGGGAGTCTTATCAACCCTGAAATAAAGACACCTTCCTACAGCTTTCTTTGTCCTCTATAAAACGTTGCTGTGCCCCTGCCTCCTGCCGTGGGTTTCATGTTTCTTTCGACTCAAGCACTTTTCTTGCACACTATCACTGCGTCCCGTCTCTTCCCCATCTCAAAGCTACTTAAAGATGTGTTTCCTTGACGCATTTCAAAATGTGGTTACTTGAGTATGTTTACTTATTTCCAATTCCCCTAAAATGCCTTTAAAGTATTAAAAAAACAAAAAAACAAAAACAAACAAACAAAAACACTAGGGCTGGAGAGATGGCTCAGAAGAGCACTGGCTGCTCTTCCAGAGGTCCTGAGTTCCCAGCAACCACATGGTGGCTCTCAACCATCTGTAATGAGATCTGGTGCCCTCTTCTGGCCTGAAGGGACACATGCAAGCAGAACACTGTATACATAAATAAATAAATCTTAAAACAAAAAACAAAAAACCACTAAGTGCAAAAGAGATTGTAATAGATGAGAAGTGGAAAAGATTTTACTGTAAAAGGTAGATAGATAGTGTATTAGTTATCCAGTGCAGCGCAACAAATTATTCAAGTTGTTGTCTCATCCTGTGTGTGTGTGTGTGTGTGTGTGTGTTCTGCTGGGAAGTTGACCCGAGGGCTTTGCACATGCTAGGCAGATACTCTAACAATGTAGCTGTCTCCAGTCCTATTTGAACTTTTTATTTTGAGACAAAATTTCACTAAATTGACTACATTGCCCAGGCTGGCAGTGAACTTGCTTTGTAGACCAGGCAGACTTTGAGTTTGCAATCCTCTTGCCTTAGCCTCTTGAATACCTGGGATTACAAGCCTATCCCATCAGGCTTTCCTAATTTAGTTCTCAAAGACTTTTTGTTAGCATATATAAATTATGCATAATAAAAGGACCCATTGTGACATCTCTGCACATTTATATAATAATTTTGATCGTATTAATCCCCAAGACCCTCTTCTGTCCCCTTCCACTTCTAATGACCCCAGTCCTCTCCCCAATTCATCCCTTTTCTACTTTCATTTCTTTTATTCTTAGTGGGGAGAGGGTGATTTTGGTAAGGTTGCTTATGGGGGGGGGGTCTCAATGAGAGGTTATCTACAGTATCACGGGCAACTAGCCACTAGCTACACCACTGAAGATTGTGTCTCTCCATCCCCCAGTAACCAATAACTCATCATAAGTCCTTAGGGAGGCACTATGTCTCAAGAGGCATGCCTCCCTCTGTGAGAGAATGTTGGTGGCTCCAATCTCTCATGAGGGTAAACCCAACTTCTGTGAGCTCACGAGTGGCAAGGCCGTGGCATGTTCTGGAGTATTCCGCAACATTCCATTGCTTCCTCCAGCTCCTGCATTCTCTCCAGACCCCCTTCCACAATGTTCTCTGAGCCTCGGAGAGGACAGTACAGACATCCGCTTTCGGGCTAAGCATTCAACAGTCATGTATTCTCTACACTTCAGTAGTTTATGTCTCTGCAATAGCTCTCACTCCTGGCCAAGGAAACTTCTTTGCAGATGTAGGAACCTGACTCTCCCCCTTACCAGCTGCAGCACTCAGGAAAGTGGGCCCTGCTCCTCACCTGGGCGGCATAGTAGAGCTGACCCTATTGGCAGGGGTACTGGTGAACCAGCCTCGAGAACTTGAGGGGCAGATCTGGCCACGCCTCTCATCTACTATATGGTGGTGTGGGTGGGGGAGAGATGCCTGTGATGGGTGGGAGAGCTGGCCCTGAGGTCATAAGAGTGGGAGAGCTGTCCCTGCCCCTCACTAGCTACAACACTCAGGAGAATGGCCCCTGCATCTCGCCTGAGCAACAGAGTAGAGCTGGCCCTGATGGTCCCGGTGTGGGAGAGCCAACCCTGAGGGCGTGAAAACAGGAGAACTGGCCTTGCCCCATGCTCATCGCTGCTAAGGGTGAACTAGCCAGGGCAGTGCTGGAGAGCTCACCCCAATGGTGAAGATGGGGAGGGGGGAGCTGGTGGGCTGACCAATCCTGCAACTACCCAGACGCAGAAGCAGGGCTATGAGTTGGCCCACCCCAATATTCACCCCATCTATGATCTGCTGGAGCATGTGAAGGGCCAGTCCTGCAGACCCAAAGCTGCAGGATCTCCACGACACAGGGCAACAACAGAATAACCAAGAGGAGTTTTAGTGAGAGCCCAGCATCAATACTGTAGCAGACGTCAGAGGCCTCTAACCAGACCGATGACTCTTTGCAATGAACACTTGCAAGTAAAGACATATGGACAAAAGGGGTACTGCATAACTCACTGTGTCATACTGCAGCTTCCATGACGAAATTTTTCCTTTTTTCTCTTAAATTTTATTTTATTAGTGGTGGGGGGGGCAGGGTGTTGTAAGGGCAGAGGGTGGATATGAATGGAACAGGGAAGTGAATGGGATTGAGATGCACGATGTGAAAGACACAAAGAATAAATAAAAAGAAAGCTTTTTTTTTTTTTTTAAAAAAAAAAAGCAGCTTCTCTGACCAAAGCTGAAATTGGCACTAATTTATGTGCATAAACACAAATGTTTAGCAAAACAACAACAATAGCTTTATCACTGGGGCCTCTGACCTCTCCAGCCTTGGGCTTTTCACAAATTTTATAGTGCCAAACAGTCCCTTCTTCAGTCCTTAAATCCAGCTAGAAGGCAGTTCCTTACTCTCATTTACATCATGCAGTGTTTCATAGTCAGGAATCTGGGAGCTGCGTTCACTGGGATTCTGAGAAGAGGAGGGTCAAGCTGTTGGCCATATATTTAGAGAGAGCTGCAGACTCTGCTCCCAAGCTCAATCACAGACTTTGTTGCATGAATTTTCCTGGAGAGAAAAATATCTACTAACCCAGACAGGACACTGACAACAGGTCAAAATAAACTATTCCCCTCCAGGCTAGTTTGTTGAGTCAATGAGCTCCTTGGAGTTGCTAATAGGAACATGGGCAATGGGATGCTTGGGTGAAAGGTTTCTCATAATAGCATGCCTGTGCACCTTAGTTTTGATATCCTGAACATCATAGAAAATGTGTAATCTGAATATGTGAGAATAGTGGAAAATCCCAAATGAGACATTCTAAACTTAATCATCCAGATTATACTCTTCAAAAGTTCATATTTTGCTTTGATACGATCAAATTTGTTAACTTGGCACAATCTAGAATCACTTGGGAAGGAAGTTCAATGAGAGATTCTCTAGATCAGGGTGGTCTGTGGGCATGTCTGTGGAGGATTGTCTTGATCATGTTAACTGAGATGGGAATACACATCCACTGTGGGTGGCACAATTCCCTAAGCAGGGGATCCTGAGCTGTATAGGAATGAAAAAAGAGAAATGAGTGTAAGTATATATGAATGAATTTATTGCTTCCTGCTCTTGACTGTAAATATAAAATGTGACCAGTTCTCTCGAGCTCCCACCACAGTGACTTCTCTGCTACGAAAATCTGTAACCTGGAAAACTGTGAGCTAAAAATAAATCCTTTCTCTTCTAACTTGCTTTTGTTGGTGTATTTCATCATAGCAACAAGACATAGAACTAAAACACCATGAAAGCACAAAGGAGAGGTAGTCTGGTCCAACTTACTGCCAGAGTGTTAGGGAGGCTTTTCCCAGAGCAGGGATGTGCAAGCTAAGATCTTCAGAGAGCCTTAAGAAGGGACAGGGCAGATGGGGAAGGAGGAGCAAGAAAGTGAGGTGGATGTAATATACAAATGAAGGAGAAAATAACTTGATCATATACCATATTTTTTATTGTAAAGCATTTGTGTAGGTGTAGATAATTATATGTATACATAGATAGATGATAGACAAATAGATAGATAGATAGATAGATAGATAGATAGATAGATAGATAGATAGATAGATAGACTGATAGATCCTTTTTAATGATGCCAGGGAGAATCTACTGATTTTCCCATTATATCTAAAATATCACATGTTCAAATGTCATGAGAAGCTATGTATATTGCTTTACCCTAAGAAATGTGTGTTGAGGGGCTGGAGAGATGTCTCAGAGGTTAAGAGCAATGGCTGCTCTTCTAGAGGACCCTGGTTCAATTCCCAGCACCCACATGGCAGCTCACAATTTTCTGTAACTCCAGTTCCGGGGAATAAGATAACCTCATACAGATGTACATGCAGACAAAACATCAATGCACATAAGAAAATTTAAAAAATGAAAAAAAGGAAGAAATGTGTGCTGAAATACACAAGAAAGAGTAAAACGTAATCTTTGGCTCAGTCATTATAATCATCAGTTTTTCCAGCATTGTTCATCTCAGAAGACAGGTGGATGCAATTATGTTCATGTCACCTTTAACACCATTTATCTTTTATTTTATAAATTGCATTTTCCAATCATGTCATCAAAAGGTAATAGAGAAGAATTGTAATAGTTTCAGGGTGGCAAGATTATTTAGTGCCTAGGCTAGACTCTTCCTCACCGTAACAAATCCTGAGAGAGATAGCTTAAAAAGGAAATACGTGTTTTAGCTCATGGTTTTGGATGACAGCTGGTTGCAGTGTTAAACTACGGTGAGGCAGACCAGCATGGGAATGGGAGCGTGTGGCAGGGGCTGCTTACCTTGAGGGGGGTGGGGGGGAGGAAGGGAGGAAGAGAGAGAGAGAGAGAGAGAGAGAGAGAGAGAGAGAGAGAGAGAGAGAGAGAGAGAATACCCATACTAGTGTACTGCTTTTTTTTTTTTTTTTTTTTTCCTGCCCC